TACCGCTCTTTTGTAATATATGGATTTGTTATTTATTAAATTTTAAAAGTTTATTCATCCTCTAAATAATCCTTTAATAAATAAACACATATACAGCTACTATATTTCTAAACAATACCTAATTGAAGAATTCATGGATTATGTTAAAAAGTACAGTCGCTTAAAATAAAGTGAGATAAAGACACGATTATAATTTATAACTGAAACGTGTGTTGATTTTCAACAGAAAAAGCCACGGTACGTCACTCTTTTGTGACTATTTATAAAGTCTTATTCCCCGAATTCAAACGAAAGGCTCGCAGCTTTTCATAGTTGCGCTAATTACTTAATGGATCGTTTGTATCCACAGGCACAGCCGCACTTTTCACATTGTGCCGCGCTCTCGACTGTGATGGAAACGCTTTATTAAATTAATGCGCTTGAATACGCTGAATTTCACATACACGGAAAGACCATGTGCGCCGGCAACTAAAGTGCGATGCTTGCTAAGTATACTTTGCGCTCTGCGTCGTAAACAAAAGAAGAGAACCGCACACTGATCTAATTCATTTTTTTTTATTCAACTCATGAGAAAAACTAAACAAAATTAATAAATTTGTAAATAACATCTTGAAATTAAATAAATTATCATGAACCATCGGTGCATCGACAAGGGCTATAAAGAGGTTTATTTTTGCATCATACGCTCAAGTAATCAGTAAATTCATCCCAAAGTAATAAAATAGTGCCCGCGAAGGACGTCCTGTGATCAGTAAAAGAACAACCTACAAAAGTATAAATGATTTTCTAAAATTTATCCAGTGCGATTGGGCAAGTACGCATAAAAAAATATCCTTAGGTACTTTCTTTTGACACCATGTGACCCACCTGAAACAGTAATTTATAGGTAAAGGAAGTAGTTAGGAAGACGGAGCACCTACGCGTCAGCGCTCAACAAAAGCCGTCCTGCACCCCCACGCAGTCGTCATTTTTCCAAGTTCGTTCTCTCTGTCTCTCACTAAACTCTGGCTTTTATTCCCCGAGTTTTTTTTTTTCAGCTAAATTTCCTCTGAGGGTACGTTTGAGCAGCGTCAGAAAATCCCTTCCATCGCCATTCTCGCCTTTTCTCAGTCACTTTAGTACGGGCTCACAAAACGCAAAAGTAATAATAATTAAAAAAAAAAGTGTGTTTGACTGCTTCCAGCGTTACAAGTACAAATAATGCACCTTTGTCGGTGTATTGCAGCTAAGTTTTCTCCATCCTCTACATCCTCTTATTTATTTTGATAAAAAAAAAAAAAGAGCTCAGCAACAACATGATACACTCCAGTATGTGCGCAAAAAAGAGTTTGCGGGCACACGCTCACGCATACCCACGAGAACTCGGCCGACTTTTCGTTGTACTTTGTTCCTCCTCCCTCGCTTCATCCTTTCTCGGCTGCGCTTTGCGTTGTATATATATACTCCCTTTCCTCCACTTCTTCTTTCATCGGATTTGCACTCGGCGGATTATTTTCTTTGGCGCGGTGCGCGTCAACTCCCCCGGAGACCCAAGCGCGTGTATTTACACATGCATTATATGTAGATGCTCTTGGCTTCAATTTGATCTGGAAAATAAAATGAAATGAAAAAAACGGGGTTTCTGCGAAAGCTAAGTAGCTTTGCGGGCGGAGTTTTTTGAAACACATTGCCTCGGAGTCACAGAGAACGGGTGAAGTGGCAGTGCATGTATGCGTGTATCCCGTCGAGTTTCTAGCCGAGTACGTTGAGGCCACGCCTGTGCTGCTATAGCTTGATTACGTACAGCAAGGGACGTAGAATATGGCCAATCAAGAGATCGCTATGATATTCTGCGCGAATACGAGCATTGGCAAATTCTATTTGGTTGTATAAGCGAAGGAGTGTAGGTATTTAGGGCCAAGGATGGCAAAACTTTTGTTAAAAATTTATGGAAAACATCTGCATTTCTTTTATCCAAAATATATCTATAGTATTGAAATTAAACTGTTGACTAACTGATGCAGAGACTCATGACATGGTATACCATTTTTTTTGTACATTGGGTATCATGGAACGGGGTAAGTTGCAATTATTCATCTCTCATTATGCACCTCTTCATCCTATTGATGATAACCAGTTTTGTGCAAAACCAAGTGAGCAAACTTGTAAACACTGGAAACTTAAAAGCTTAAAAGTTAACATCCTAATTGTATTTCAGCAAAAATTAAAATAAGGGAAGTATGCATAAAGGATCCTTCTATGCAATTTCAGAGTTTCTATCTTCTAAAAAACTTTTATTAGTTACTCAACACCCAAATTTCTAATTGAGAAGAAAAAAGAAGGTTTTGTCCAAAACGTTTATGCACCTACATTATTATCACCCATGTTCATAACAAAACTTTATATCGCCGATTTTGCTTATGATTTACACTTACCTTGTGAAATAATAAAAATCAAATTATGAATACATTAAAGTGAAAATGCATAAAATTTAAAAATAACAACGCTCTGACCTGTTGTTGAAGATGCCAGTGACGGTGATTCGAGGCTCTGGCGACAATCTGCCTCGGGTACTGATTCCGGGCACCTTGAGCAGATCAGAGGACGACTGGTGCCGGCGATGGTCTCGGCTGATCCAGCTGTTGCTAACAACCCCATCCTCGTGATGCTGTAACTTCACGGACTGGCGCCGCGAGCCCTCGCCCCCGCCACCCTCGGACAGGTGGCGGACCAGTGGGCGACGCATCTTGTGCCTCGCATGCGTGATGCCTCCAGCAGCGGACAGAGTGGATGGTCTGGAGTTACGAGAATGTTGTTATTGTGATTTTAATTGCAATATCGAACGTTGGACACTTTTTTTGTTTTGTTATTTTTTAAACCGAAAATGGAATGAGACGGTTGTAACCGTAAGTCGTGACACGATAGGTGCAAAATTTTTAATTTTACGAAACCCATGACATGGTAGCATGACTGTTTCCTAGCATAAACGTCTCAACATTTTTCCAAATAACTTTCAACAAGCTCATGTTTACATTACTTTGCAAAAAGCAATAAACGCTTTCGCATATTTATTTTTGTACCCGAATTTATGTTCGCACTTCCCGTTTGATCATAACGTTAATGGCCAACGACAAACGTCACAACAGATTTTACTCGCGCTTTTCTATTTATAAAGGCGAAAAAACAAAGTTTGAAACGAACGAGCTCGTAACAGAACGCTTTCGAACGTGGGTCAGTTACTTTTCACGTGCGATCTTTCCCTCAGCTATCAATACGTAAAAATACTTAAATTAAAGCTTTGTCTCGTGATGGGATTATTATTTTTTTTTTATTCTCAAATCTGTTTAGTACCATCATGACACTGGGCATGCGTAAGTATAACCTCCTCCCCCCCCCTTCCCCGAAACTTTCATTGCACCGTACCGAACAAGTTCTCTATTTCATGTATACTTATCCGTACATTCAGCTGTTACAGAAACGTCCCTTCGACCTCATGTCATGTAAACACTTGTTTATAAGCATAAAAACTAAAGCACTTGACGAAACAAAGTCACTCACCTTATCTCCTTCAGTTTGCACGACAGGCACTAAGTAGGTAACTGCACCTTCTCCGATTCAATTCAACAGCCTATAACTTATCAACCACTTGATTTTTTGTTTGTTGTCTTTGCACACTAAAAGCCGAACCACACATGCAGAGAGCCAATAAGTATAACCGTCACGTGAACCCTTTTTGTCGCGGATTTTCCACACGAACAGTGGTGTAATTGTATATAGGTGTACTTACTTGCACGCACGGGGGTGGAGGATAAAACGGCGCGAGCGTGCTTCGGTCTCGGTCGCGGGAAACTGACGTGAAAATTTTGGCCAACGCGTCGGACGGGTCCGTGTCGCCGGTGGGTTGATGTTGCAGAAGAGGAGGCGGAAAACGTGCGCGCGCTAGTTCGAGCTCTCGCGAACTCGAGCCTGGATCTTGATGCGGGATGCGTGTTTTTCCAGGATCAGAGATAGGTGATCGGGAAGGCCGTTGGATGTGGGACACACAGAGCTCGCGTGCGCTGATAAGAAGCTGCAGGGTGTGGAACGTCCAGCCGGCGACACTCGTCGGCTCTCGTCGTCATCTCTTGCGCGGCTGCCGCAAACCGTTGAACGTCAGTCGATAAGGTAGAGGATGTTTTTGAAGATTGTGGTTACCTTTCGAGGACTTGCTTGATAACTTATCGACGATTCAAATTTGAGGGTACATGTGTGTGTGTGTGTTTCATAGTCAAATTTTTTTTTTACTTTTTACGTGGGAATTAAAAAATTATTCATTTTTGACTCAAAGTTTAAACGACAGAAACAAAGTGACTCATTTTTTATATTTATAAATATACTCTGGTATAATCATAAAAGATCTTTATATTCTTACAGCCTAATCCAATTAGTATGAAATGTCGCTGTAATAATGATTAATGGTAATTATTAATTATTTATGCGCCGCAACGAAGATTCTTTTGTTTTTCATCTTGGTAAAATGGGTAGAAATTACAAGCGTATCCGAGTAAGCTGTAAGTCCTTTTGATGGATGACAGTGGTAGTTCTATTTAAATTTAAATTTAGTTGTCGCAACTTGTGAAATAAAAAAAAAAAACTTTTTTCATCTTCAATAAAATTATTTAATATTTATTTAGCGATGAAACAAAACTTACACTTAATTCATTAACTCCAAAAATATAAAAATTTAAATTGTCGTACTTATGATTACATATTATTGAAATTTTTATTGAAAGTAGCATAAAAATATTACGATACAATTTTAGTCATACGTAGATCCAGCATCATTAAAAATGTGTTGTTTTTTCACTAAAAATAAAATACAAATTGAACTGCAAAAAATTGTTTAGTTACGTAAAATTCATCAGTTATAAGCATTTCTTAAACTTTAAAAAAAAAAAATAGTAAAAAATAGAACATAAGTTTTTATTCTATGGTACAAAATGTCGCCTTACCGTAAAGTCATGCCTTGAATGTTTAAATANTTTTCCACCGGAGAGGGATAGATGCGTGGGTGGTTGTCAAAAAATCACACAGAGCCAGCACAGTAAAACACAAAAATTGAGATAACGCTTGGTATATAGGATGCATCGATATCAAATGTGTAACCTGTGGGGTGCACGCGTTCGTGGGATTGGCCAAGAAAACGCGTAACTGCCTGCCCAGTGTCCGAAAAGTACTATGTGGCTCAGCGCTGAAAATCAATGGCACCGGTTGGACAGGGGAGTACAACTGGGACCATTTGATTTTCAACTTGAGCTTCGAAAATAATCCGCAGTCACTGGACAAGCAGTCACAATCTTCGTATACAAACGATTATCCAACGAAACGAAAAAAAAAAAAAACAAATGATCGGCAAAAAGACGCGCGTCGAGCCACATCTCGGCCCATTCGGTTATCGGTTGCGATGATCGGCTCGACGTGCGCCCGGCGGTGAGTATACTCCCTCTCGTTTATCGGGGTGACTCCATGATTCTCCCAAGGATTGCCACGGGGAGTGCATCCTGATTTCCAGTTATCGTGCAGACGCCTGACACTTTGAAGGGTTTCCCGGGCGAGCGAACTAATAAAACAAAGGTACACGGCGAAGGAGAAGGGATGCAACGACGGCACACGGTGTTAGGCCGTACATCCCGTAAAATCTATAAGGACAAAAGGGGTGGGGGGGGGTTAGCATCGAGTCGACTAGCAGTAGGCGTGATTGAGCATCGAGGCGAGCCGGAAGACTCGCATCCAGGCAAACATCTCGCCGTTGAGGGGACGATGGGTGAGCAGTCGTCGCAGAGCCGAGGTCGACGCGGCTGCGGCCGTGGCTGCGGAGGTGCTGCGCTGGAGGGCACTCGCTGCTCGCGAAGGCGTCGCGTTCACGGAACTCATCTCGCTTTCGGATTTACGGTCCTTCTGTTGCTGCTGGGGCGAGTATTTCATCCTGTTGACCGAGAAACAATTTTTTTTTTTTTGTTTTTTTGTTGTCATTTACTTTGGAATTATTTAAGTATCAAAAAGTGCCATTTTTCATTTTACTGGTACAACGAGTCTGTCGGATTATCTGTCAGATATTCTTGATACAGACAACCCACAATTTACTTATGGTACAATATTGATAAAAAAAAAAAAAAAAAAAAAAAAAAAAAAANAAAAAAAAAAAATCCAATACGAGCAATAATGGTCTCATCGTCACCTCGCGGACCATAAACTTTATACGTCCTTTCGAGCTCCGCAATCAAAAGCCCGCGCTGCTTGAACGTTTTATCGCGGCCGTAATGGTATCGCAAAAACTACCTCGTAACGTTAGTGGGGCAGGTGGCCCCTTTCAATTATTCAGCACACACACAGAGCAGCGTCACAGTGCAAAACGTCGCAAAAATGGCCCATAAACGCGAAAATAAACCTCCACAGCCACTCGTTCGTGGTATGATGTACCTACGTATAGGTGTATAGAATCGCGGCTCGAAACGAGGAAACCTGATGCACAAGCCGCGAGAACAATAATCACAAAATAGTACACTTGGCATGCATTTACCTAGCGGCTTTTGTAATTTTCTCCCCGCACCTCCGCAGTCCTCGCGCGAGGGACGACTCGGAAATCCTCGCGAGCATAGCTCCGAGAGACAGAGCGCGCGCTATTACACTTGCAGTGCCCGTCAATTACACACAGCGCGGATGAACAATTTGCCCTTATTTTCCCTCTTGGGCTAATTACATGCAGCAGCAGCAGAGATAATCAACCCCGTCGCTCTCGTGTATACAAACGCGCCGTACCACTGCATCGAGCCGACTGACGGTCCCTGGTCATGGCCGTCGGAAAACTTTGTCGCCGTGACTTATCTATACATTACGTCGGCACGAGAGTGGTATACATATATGTATGATAGGTATACAGAGTAAGGTAAAATGTTGCGCCGAGGGTCGAGGGTTTTTGTTAATACTCGCTTACCCTTGTGCCGGTCACTGTATTGTACTTGTACGGATGCATCGTACATGTACGTGTGTAGAGTGTGTACAACAAGAGAGAAAGAGAGTCCGTGAAAAGAGCAGCCACGTGGCCTCGCTCGCGATTTGTAAAGCACTTTTGGCACCTGTGGCTGTCACAAGTGGATACCGATTTTCCCGGTATAAGGAAACATACGGTTTTAAGATATTTGAAAGAGAAAATAATAATTATCATAAATTGGAAATTTTGCGCGAGACCAGAGCAAACACCAGTGGCAACCGGTTTCTGCCAAAGTTTCCCCCTCAACACCTGTTTGTTTTCTCTCTCCGTCTCATCTTCTCTCCGTTTTCGGTGTCAAGTTCAAGGTTCCGCCGTGACTATCGCTTGTAACGCTATCTATTTTATCTCGGTACAAAACAAGTATCCGGCCAATTTGTTAATAATTGTAACCCGAAAAACTATAGCATCTAAAGTCATCGCCATGTGCAGCAATAAAGCTCAAGTCAAACATCAAAATACAGGGCGTCGCGTTCGCGAGCGCACTATCGCTCTCCGCAAACATCCCGTTGGTGCGCCGATGTTACACTTACTTGTTTTTTTTTTTTTGTTTTTTTCTCTCTCTCGAATCCTTTTATGCTCATGTCTCGTTGACGATTGAGTTTTACAAACAGAGGGCACTTAAATGTAAAGTACATACATGTTTTTTGTAAACTCCTCCTTTCTGCTTCGAGCGATAATTAACAATAAAAAAAAAAGGAAAAAAAAAAGTACAAACAATGGATGTCGAGAGGCAATTATTTTTTTCTGCCTCTCCTCGAAGCAACCAACTCGAAAGAGATGAAGTCACGAGCCGCATTTAAGAAGAAAACCGCACAGATGTGTATATACACATAAATATATACCTCACCGCGTATAATCGTTATGTCACATCCTATTTTTACTCCGATGCACGCGCAAACGCACGCGCGTTGAATCCTTCGCGTGTGTATGGTTCAAATATAAATAAAACAATAAATAAATAAGTGGGTGAAAGATAAACAAAAGCCGTACCCAATTAACACTCATTTTCCACTATCTAAAGAACCGACCACATGCGGCTCACGTCACGTTACGTTATAGCGTGTACATTGAAGCAAAGCATATACGTATATATACGCAACTGAGAGATACAGGGCGCGAAGAATATTCCCACAAGGCGCGTGATAACAAATCGCAGCTGCCGTACTAACAGTCGTTTTTAACGGCGCCTCCGCTCGCTATATACACACACACACCAGATTATATATTATGTATACGGAACAACCATATAACCGCCCACACACGCAGACACGCGAGTTCAAGTCCTGTGTATGATGTATCTTGGGTACCGGAGCATTGACATTTTCTTTTCCTTCTTTTTTTCCCCCAGAATATACCATAGGGAGCCCCGTTTGACATGTATACCTGATGCGTGCACGCGTACCTTTGCTCTCTCTTTCTCTCTGCTCGTTTATTCTTCGAAGGAGCTTTACGACTTGCGCAACGACTCTCTCTCTCTCTCTTTTTTTTTTTCCTTCTCTTTGCTTGGTGAAGCGGTGCCGATCTTATAACGCCCTTTTTTTTTTTTTTTTTTTTTTTTTTTCAAAGTTTCTTTCGAGTTTCGGATGTACGAGCGTTGCGTAAAGATAATCATGACCACCGAGCCCGCGTGTGACGTGTTTATCTTTTGTTTTGCAAAGACCATTGATTCATTAGAGAAAGTCGGGATATGAAAGAAGTAGAAGTTAATAGGATTTCTTTTGAGGGAATGGACAATCGTGATTTCCCGTCACAAAACCGAGAAAAAGAAAGTACTTGAACATTTCATACAATGTTTTTCTTCCTCCATCATACCTGAACCATACGAGGAAAAAAAAAAAGAGTCAAACGAGTCTGTCAGTCCCAAAAGGCGCTAATTGGTCACTTTTCCTTCTCACACGCCGATCCTGAAATCTATATGTACGATATATTATGAGTTACGCGCACGGCAAATTTACTATGTGGGTGGATAAAATGGAAATGAAGAAAAAAAAGGGTACATCTTCCAACCGACTACGGGTAAATTTGCACGTTTTGATTATTATCGTTTTTATCGAGAGATCGGTATCTCAGAACGTATCTTTTCATCAAAGCCCCCCTCGACTTATCGATACGATTGAAAGAAGATAAACACCAACACCATACCGATCGCGATTAAAATCACTGAATTACCGGTCAAACAAACAAACAAAAAACGCTGCAAACCATACCTGATTAAATTTTAAGTTTCCACTGTGTACTAGACACACTTTGTAGATCCAAAAATAAGACACGGCAGCAGTTCTCCAAAAGACACCCACGAGAGCACACAAAAACTCACAACCCGACAGGCCGAGCGTCGCACTTGAAATGCGCTAAACTCCCGCGCACACGCGCCACTATAGCTGTGTACTTGTGTATATTATATACATGCCTGTGAAAATCCTCCTCCTTGTAGCCACTATATACAGTCCCTCTCTTTCTCTCCAGCACAGTGTCGCGCACGTATATACATGATGCTCCAGCTGGGAGGGGGCGTCGCACACCGGAACGCACTGGTTGTAATCGGCCGATCGGCTAGAGAGAGAGAGAGGGAGACTAGAGAAGAGCGAAACTGGGTCGTATGTAGTGGCGCGCGGGCGGCAGGTCGTTTTTTTTTTTTTTTTTTCGCGATCCGATCGATCCCTCCTCGCGCGATGCGACGCGCTTGTAAATCGAGCGATCCATACGCACGCGGAAGGAGAAAAGAGAGACCCGCGGGATCGGTATCTCGCGGGGACCGGCCGTGAGCTCAAGTGGAGCTTGTCGGATCGCTCCGGGGAGATATAACGCGCTTACCCTCGCGGAAGATGTATCTTTGGATGTTTTTTGCTTGTTTGCCGCGGGAGTTGTTGTTTCGGAAGGGGGAAAAAACAACAACTCAAGCCAAGAAAATACACGCTAAACGCTGAAATCAAACATGCACATGTAGGAGTGGTGTATATAAGTAAAACGAGAGGGTCTCGTTGGGCACGTGGAGTCGTAATCAACGCGACGAGCGCACACGTTATATTCAATTGCAACCATACGTATGTATATGAGAGGCGATCGGTATATATTGGAGTATGGAGCTGTAGATTACCTTAATCGAAATAACCCAGTTTCAAATAAAAACGAAGAAGAAGAAGAAGAAGCACATCAGCTCGCGCACTTGGAACTGTGTCACGTCAGTTGGACCCTCTTCCATTGGGATCATAAGTACACATAGACGAGACGTGAAATTCGTTTGTTTACACAAAAGAGGGTGTCGCAACTGCGGAACGGCACGTGTATAGGTACATCGTAATAGCCACGTGCGTACGTGCGTATGTATGAAGTGTGGGATGAAAAGAAAGGCTTATCGCAACTATTGAAAGGGAAGACCACGTGTAAGTTATACGAGATTGTATTGTGCGTGTATAGGCAAAGGGGCCGAGAAAAGTATGCGATTGTCGCGTGCCACCGGAGCGCGACACAATCTTGTTTTTTGGCGCTCGCGAGCGTGCACATACATAATAAGCATATTATGCTGTTGGGGTGCTCTCGTTACGTGTGCACTTATTGTTAATCGCGCAATGGTCTGGTCGGCCGTGAAGATTTGAAATTTAATTCGTACGCGCATTTTAATTAACTTTTTTCTTTTAAAGAATACAACTATGCGACAGCTCCGTCTAGTATACGCGTTAATGATCGCGGAAACATTGAAAAGACAATTCAAACTGCATGAAAGAGCACCGTAAAAAAAAAAAAAAAATATATAAGGGTTAAGGTGGTGGTGTAGCAGCCCCTAAGTGGTCGTTTGATCCGAATAAACCGAGATGATAATTTTGCAATTCAAACGACCTCCCACGACTCGTCCTCGTCTTTCTGTGCACGGAGTATATGGGTAAAATGTGTCTCTTATACGTAACTTTGAATGATCCATGAAAAAAAATTGCAAAGGGGAGGAAAAACACGGCGTTAAATGGTGCCGTTGGAGAGAGAAAAAGGGTGTAGTGTATGTACCTATCAGTTACAATATGCACTCGGTGGCTATTGAGCGCGGGTTTCTTTTTCACGCTCGAGTGCACTTGAGCTTTTAGATTCGGTGGCGGAAAAAAAAAAAAAAAAGATGCGCGCGTATTTCGAGTACACGGACTGAATGTTGCTTGTTTGTTTGTTCGAGAGCGCCTGCAGTGCTTGAAGCACCGTGCGTAATTCGAATGCTTGAAAATGCGTTTTTCACCAGACGAACGGATGATTAATAAGGGCAAAAATCGTGCTGAAATCGATGGACCCGTTGACGAAATCGAGGATTTTGAAAGGAGTCGGACGTTAGGTATCTTTAGCTCAAAAGATCATCGCAGTGACTTCTGGAATCGCGAGCGAGCTCAAACAAACTAACGGCCGGAGCGATGTTTGCTTCTAATCGCGAAAATCGGCACGTATACTTTGGCCGTAAATCACCCCAATGCGAGTAAACTTGAAATATTTACTTTGACAAGCAGTCGTTGCGAAAACATGTTATATGCCGATTCGAATGAAACGTTTTTCAGTGTGATTATCAACCAACTTTACCTTGAAAAAGACAACGTCCTTTTAGCAATGGAGCTTTTTTTTTGTGACCCACTTTCGTACAGGGGGTTCCCCCGATTCTAGATAAGTATAAAAACTCTCTTTCTCTCTGCGTAAAGTTCAAAGTGTCTTCCATTACCAATGGAATGATGGGACAAGTTAATTCCATCCGGTCTTACCTGTCCGATGTTTATTTTCTCCAACGTAAATTCAGTCGACAC